TAAATATATCTGTTATTAGTAACTGTAGTTTGTTGCTATGTAAAAGTTACTATAGTACATTTAGTCATGATAGTTACGTTTAAGTAGTAATATATATATATATATATATATATATATATAAGAAATGGCAATGATTATTGAGTTAGAGAAGTTGATAGCTTATTAGGACTGATTGGATAAAGAACTAGAAATTACATTTGTTTTTAGAAGTAAGTAAACCACTGGTGTTGAAGTCTAAACTGGTAGAATTCATTAAAAATATTGATTTATTAGGAAAACTTTTTGCATGATATGAGAAACTTATAAACTATGCTTTATGGGGTCATTCTAGAATTTTGACACATGAAATTACTAAAAAAATGCACAAAACTGCCAAATGGCTAACCAAATTTAGCTAATTTAGAATAAAGTTTAAAGGCATCATATCTATCAAATATATGAAAAAAAAAGACAATAGTGCACCAGAGAGTTTCCAATTTTGAAAATTTTCTGGGAGAACATTCCCCCCTGGCTTTACCTAGCATACCTGGATTTAAATTATTTCAGACTATTTGTATCCTTGTTCAAAGTTATTCCTTTTTTTTTGGGGGGGGGGTGATCTATATACTTGCCTGTTACCCATTTTATGTAGTAAAAATATAGAAAGTAAAGCATTTTTTATTTCAACAGACTGAAGTAGATGGCAGAAGGTTTCTAGAAGACTTAAAACATTCTGTAAGGAAGACTGTTGCATTTGATGTGATCATGAGAGTTAGAACAAGCACAGGTAGAATATTATGGCATCTTCTGAATTTCATATGGCCATTATAAGAAATTTATTACATTGGCCACAATTGTCTGGTTAAAAAAAAATCACATATATGTATATATATAAATTCTTCTTTTTGCCAATTGTTGAAATAAATGGCTTTTACTTGTATTTCTTAATAGTATAAATATATACTATGTTGTTGTTGCTTAGGATTCTTCTATAGTAGGTGTCTGTGACTTTTTAGCGATACATTCAAGGATGAATAACCAGCACACACTTTATTTGTTTTCAAATATATATATTCCGAACAAGTTAAACGTATGTACAACAAAGTCTTCACACTATAGAGATTACAGGCATATCATAACTACTATTTATATATATATAGTTCTCTTCTTCTTATCAAAATTCTGCTTAGGCCTATTCAATTACTTTAGAATTTCATTTGACAAGTCACACTATCTTCTCTATATCACTATCATACTAGTATTTTGTGTGATTCACTTACAGTTGTGGCACAAGTTACCATAATCCGTTTGGTCTTCTTTTTTTCTGAAGATCCTCGTTCCTTTTGTCAAAGTGTACCCAGGCTGATTCAATTACTTTAGAACCACCCTTTGAGTAAAATTATTATTCTTATCTTTTTTATACTATTAGTTTCACTCTAACATATTAAACATTAGGCCTGTGTCTACAGTACTTCACACAGCCATATTCTCTTTTGCTTTTATCTGTCTATTGTTGTCTGCCTGCTGCTTCTCGCTGGTCTCATGCTATTTATAGCTGTATGACATAGTCGTATGGCCACTTTCTATATTCTCGACACCAATTAGTTATTAACAAAACCTTCTACAATCGTCTGCTTTTAACTCGTGTTATAACAAAACTTAAAAATAATCAAATATTCACTCACAAATATAAATTAATCACTAATATTTAAACCAGTCTTTAATATCATGACGGCCACATCTTGTCATGGTAGTACATGTAGTGTTATTGACAAATCTTCAAAAGAATATTAGGAATATATTTATTCTCAATAGCAATAAGCTTTCATTGAGTTTCTTGTGCAGTTGTGACTAGTCTTGAGTATGCTTATGTGAAACCTCTAAAAATATCATATCATAATTTTATTCCTTTTACAACATCTTAATTTCTGGCAGTGTAAACTGTTGGTTTGTATTGAGCTATTCTGAAGAATATTAATTAAGTAAAAACACAGTATTATCTTTGTTTAAATCATTTCATACTTGCATGAATTTGTTTTGTTTTTGTTTACCTAACACAACAGTTTTTGTACTTGTATCCTGGTACAGTGATATGAACAAGAAAGTTCTAATTATTAGCCTAAAATAGTTAACATTTCAATTCTAAAGTGGAAAGCATTGAACCAGAAAATGAATTTGTCTGTTATTTATTCATGGTATTTCAGACAGTTTAGCCTTCTTGTATTTTAATAATAATGAGTTAAAATTTGAATATGGTGCAAATTAGATGTCATTTCATGAATTTGTCAGTGAAGATGGGAATACATGTGATATTTTATCTAAACGGTAAAGGATTTACAGTGAAACTTTCATTAATCTGATACTGAATACATTTTTTGAATTTTTTTCTTAGGCATTAGACCTACTGATTTTTATGGACATTACTACATGTCCAATACAACTGATGTTGAATTAGCAGCAGTTGATGAAGATAAAGCAATCACCGTGGAAATTAAATATGATGATAAACTGCCTGAAGAAGATGGAACCTACATCCAGGTTGCAGTGTTATATACTAGCAGTGGAGGCCAGCGTAGGCTTCGTGTACACAATCTTGAACTTGGCACATGTAGCCAATTGGCAGTTATGTACAAAAATTGTGAACTTGATACCATCATCAATTACTTTTCTAAACAAGGTATTAATAATTTAAATATGTACACACATTTAAAACTTAAAATTTAGCTTTTTGAAATCAAATTTTTTTCAGTGCATGTAATGGTTCTTCTCTCTGTATGTTTAATAAGCTTTATTACTGGAAGTTGTTTTCAAACTAAATTTGGCTGTAAAACAGATTCAGTACCATTTGCATATACCAATATACCATAAAAGTATTATTGAATATAATTGATATATTTTTACTTTTTGAATACAAAAGTAATTTTGAACAGTCCTAATGACATTGCTTGTCACTTAATCAAATTTGTTTGATTTTCCATTTCTATTATTGGATTTCTTATACATTTCTGATTTATCTTAATTATACATATACAAAAAGTCTCAAAAATATCATATAATAAGCATATACTTTTTTTTGCATTGTCCCCATTTCTTATCTAATATTAAAAAATATTTATATGGAGTGTTTTTAAGGGGGTCTCAAATGAGTAAAATTACAGTATTCATTATCTTTGTTTAAATTATTTCTAAACAATATTTATATATACACTTTAATAAATCTCTTTATTCAGCACAGAAGATAATTTTCGAGCTGTAGTTGCTTGCCTTTGTGAAAATGAAAATTACCTGAAATTCTGTTTGCTTAATAATATTCTTTGTTTTATTTCAATGTCACCAACTTCCTTCAAGTTATGATTGCATCTAATCTTAATCTTTAACCTTCTAAATAGAAAAACTTTTTAAGTTCAAACAGATAATAGTACAAACCATTGGCTTGATTACTTTTCATAATCATGACCATTAACAGTAACTTATAATATATATATATATATATATATATTTAAAGTGAAAACTTTTGGAATGTAATCAGTTGAATTGAGAGATTTATTTAATTAATGTTTTAAGTGTGTGTGTGTGTGGTATTTGTGTTGTCAGAATAACCCTTTCCTTACTAGGGGACTGTCACTGATATCCTCTGATTTGTTCCTTTTCATTGTGAAAATATTTAACCAAATACTATGGAACTTTCTGCTAACTTGCTAATATCTACTAATATTCTGCTTTAAAAAATTCATGGAATTTAATATATAATGTATAATTCTATAATTTTTAGGTAGTGAAATTTCAAAAAGTTCGAGACACTGTTTTGAAAAAAAACATTTCAAATGCTTTCTTTCTTTTTAGAATTTAATTTTTTTACTGTAGAATAGCAAGTTACAATAAATATATTTCTTTAATTTTAACTTAATTTATATTATATTTCTTTTGATACCTTATTTTGCTTACTGCAGTAGTAGCCACTTCTGACTATAAATAATAAAAACGTAGCAAAAACTGACAAAGATTTATTGGTGATCTAGGACCCCACCTTCCAAAAATGTGATAGGTTAGGTATTGGGATTTCTGCTAACCAATATTCTTGGTGAAGATTAACTGGTATATAATAAATATAATTTTATTTTCAATGAATAATAAATTATTTCATGTGTTTTGTTTGAATGATAAGTTTAAAAATAATGTTCAATAAATAAGGATTTCGGTCAACTGAATATTTTGCCATCACCTACTGTACTTGCTAAACGTAACTAAAATTACCTGATGTCTTGTCATAGAAGAAAATTTATATAGCTTTCAAAAATAATTTAACAAAAAAATAGTTCCAGAATGTCTAACGAAACTGCAAAACAAAATTACAGATATTTGATTTTGTTCCTAAGTAATCTAAATTTACAATAAAATTCACTTGTGTATTTACTTTACATTGACCTAGTTTGTAATCTGCTCTATCCAATGGCATTTAACCATTGGTTCTAGCAATTTTCAGATCTGAGCTAGATCAGTAATTGTTCAGACCACATGCTGTAACATTGTGATAGGATTAACTATGATAGGCTGTAGTAATAAAAATTACTAATGGAGGAAGAAATCCACATGAAAAATAAAACATGAATCATTGTTTTCTATGGATGATAGTTTCTTAACAAACATAAACCTGTAGTTTGGGATGGGGAGAAAAACTACAAAAAAAATCAATAAATGCATTGTTTACAGATATTATTCCTCAAAACTGTGCAGAAATGACACTTCAAACATTTATGAATAGCACTAATTAAATGTACAGAATGACAGAATGTCAGTTTTAAAATATTTTTGCTGAAAATTGTTGAAAGAGAGTTTGTTATTATTTTTACTTAAATTTCGAACTTTTGTATGTAGGTGTGCTCTTGATATCAGCTAAAGGTGTTTACTGGTCTTGATAGGGTTAAGAGGTTTAAAAATGAGCTATTAAATGTCAGTTGGGTATGGGGTTTAGAATTGAAGAATTATTTACGAGTTAATCAGATCAAGGTGTTCAAAAATAAAGAGGTATTAAGTGTTGATGAGATATATTTTACTGAGATACTCAGAAAAACTTAATATGACATCTCTGTGAACTTCTAGGTCTACGAATGGTGATGGAGCAAACTCCTCGTTATATTAAAGACTATTTCATCAACAGAAGTGCACAAATGTTGGCTACCTACAAAAAAAGCTGTGCCGACTATTCTTCACCTAGCCAGTTCATCCTGCCAGACTGTATGAAGTTGTTGCCACTTTACGTCAACTGTTTAATTAAAAGTGATGCTTTATCAGGAGGTATTTCTGTTGTTTTTTAATTATTAAATTTGTAAAAAAGTGAAATGAGAAAGAAATATCAAAATGAAATTCTTGAAGTCATGTATGCTGAGATTATATTATTGATATTGGGGTTTGTTTCTATTAATGCAGTAATCAGACAACTTCAATAGATTATTGTTGTAAGATTAATGACTTTTCTTAACAATTCTGAATGCACTAGACATTTCTATCATGCTGTTCCTGCTAAGATGTTTCAAGAAGGATATTACAGACTACTGGAACGATGAACATTTTTGGATATTGTGAATGCTAATTATAGTTATTAGACACTTCCTGGTGATTATGTAAGGTTCTTAAGTATATTATACAATCTTTTAGTTGTACAAAAGCAAACCACTGATGACACAAGACCATTCATGGGTGTCACAACAGATTCACACACATTTCTTGAGTGTTGTGATGGCAAATTAGCTTATGACAATGAACCACTGTTTGGGCAACCTTTTAAGATATGTCTTAGTCTTACTGACATTATTTATACTTTCTGGGCGATTATGGCAGATTCACAGAAACGTTAGACTTTCCCTGGAAGTTATGAAAACAAACTAACAACATTGGGTGTTAAAAGAGACTCCTAATTCTAATGGGTATTCATTAAGTGAAATTGCAGTAAACAAACTTTTTTAGAAATTGCTATGTCAATGTTACTGCAGATATACCAACCATATTTCCCTAGGTGTTATGAAACAAAACCTCCAATGTTAAATCCTCATTAAATGTCATGACTGTAAACTATCCTTTCAGATGCTTTTGGACAGTTTCATGTAGACATTTACATGATTGGGATGTTTTATGACACACTTGATTGATATTAGATAATCTCTGAAGGTAATGCAAGATTCACACCAAGACCAGAGACTATGATGTTAAAGAAAATTTAGATATTCAACACATGATTTGGCTAAAACATTAATATCAGATGTTCCCTGGGTGTTATAAAAGACTGCAACAAAATTATATAATCTGTAGGGAGAGTGAAAGTCTCTCTCATCAACTTGAGGCATATAGCTTAGTGTTTTGTGTACTGATGTAAATGTTTTAAGCTATTGGCCATAATATGGAATATTTACCAGAAAGAGTTAACTTAGAAAAGTACTTCTAAAACAGTCTTGCACTTTTATCATAAGTTTCTCTGCTCTACACGAAGTTGACATAGCATAAATATTTAATTGTTTGCTTTGTTTTGGTTTACCATACACCAAACAAAAGTGATTATTACAAAGTAAATATATTTGAAAGTCAGTATATGAATCCATGATCTAACTGTGAAATGCAAAGGACTGTTATCCTAGGAGGGGCATTTTAACATGGTTTTATCTCAGGTGTACATTTCTATATTTTGTATATCGTGATACTTTGTGATTAAACTAACACATGATAATGAAGATACTTTCTGGCAGTTGCTAGAATACTATAAAGGTGCCTGCATACCTTAATGGCACATGAAGTTACATTATGGTGCTTACTAACAAATTCTAATGGTGTCTGAAGACACCTTGTGGTACTGCTACACATCACTGACATGTGAAAATGCTTTCTGGAAGGTATTTGCTAGCACAATCTAATTTAACTGCACAGAATACATTAAGCACAAAAAAGATTTCCACATTAGAACTTTCATTGAACCAGTAACAAAATCATCTCTGAAACAAAAGCTTACAATCATGACTATGTGAATACTTACAATAGGTATTAACCGAGGGTAAAAATAACTTGCACTGCAAGGCACATCCATACAAGCAACTGCTTGCATTTCAAAACTACGATCATCTGTAGATATATTAGGCCCTGAAAAAAAAGTGTTCATCTTTAAGAAAAAATGCACCAAAAACATGCCATTATTGTATGCTAGTTTAATCGCAAAGTATCACTACATGCCATTATTGTATGCCACTATTATCGTAAAGTACCTTCATGTACGATTAAAGAGCATTACAGTGTGCTAGCAAGTACTACGAAATATCCTCATTTCTCATTAGAAGCTTTATTTTTATAATTTTAGTACAAACACTGTAATTAGATATTAAAGTAAACTACCATGTCAGATGTGTTATAAGTAAATGAACCATGGAGGCTCTTTTAATGGTTTTCAAATGTGACTTGTTAGGGGTATGATAATTTTGGTAAATAATTCTAAGTGTTATGAAAGGTTATCAGAATTTGGAATATATTAAATTACACAGTATTGTATATGTTTGTGCTTTGTTGTAAAAACATAGCTTTAAAGTCTTTTAATCTTTTTAAACTCATAAGTTGTTTCATATATAAATACCTCTACTAAAACCTTTCTG